CTGAGAGCGCGCAGAGGGCGGGCGAGAGCGGCGGCCGCAGCAGCGCGGCGGGAGCCGGGACCGGGCGGCGGCGGGGCGCGCCCCCTGCGCGGGGCGGCGGCGGTGGGCGGCCGGGCGCCCCCGCCTCGCTCTGGATGCCGATCGCGGCTGCTCGGGCCGGGGGGTGGCTGCGGCTTCCCGGCGGGGGGCGCGGGGCAGGATGCCGGTGCTCGAGCGCTTCTTCCCCGCGGCAGAACCGGGCAGGCGGAGGAGGACGGGGGAAGAGCCGATGCCCTTTCCCATGGGCAGCCTGCCCGGTTATCAGCAGGGGACCCTGGCCTGGGACTTGCCCGAGATGATCAAGATGGTAAAGCTCGTTTGGAAATCCAAGGGCGAGCTTCGCGGGGCGAAGCACAGAGGGGTTCTGGAGAGCGAGGATGCCCTGGGCGGCTCGGCAGGTAGGTAGGCTTCCATCGGCGCGCCGCGCGGGGCCGGGGCTGCGGGGAGTCGGCCCGGCCCGGCCCGTGGCGGAGCTGAGCCGCCGGAGAGGGGCGGGCTGGAGAGGCGCGGGCCGGGGAGCGCTGCCCGAAGGGCGTCCGGGTTTGAAAATGTGCTTTTGGCAGCTGTCGGCTCTCCCCGCTCGAAAAGGCGCACACGTAGAGTTTGAGCCCGCTTGGGAACCAGGTCCTCTCTCCTGCAATCTGTTGCCTGCTTTTACGAGCGGCATGAGAAAAGCTCGGCGGCAAAACAGAGCGAGCGGCTCGGTGGCTTTGAGGCTGACCTCCGCCGGGCGGCCGGGCTCGGTGCCGGCTCGGCTCAGCCTGTCGGCCCGCAGACTGTCCGAGAGTTCCGCGGGACGCCGGGCCGGCCCGGAGGTGCTGCAGCCGGCCCCGAGCCCGGGGTTTCCCCGCTGCTTTTGCTGCGACCGGCGGAGCGCGTGGCCTCGCCTCCCGCGCCGCCAAACTTCGCCCCGAACTTTGAGTGTGCGCGGCGCGTTCCACATGATCTGCCCGTGCTTCCAGCGCGGCCATCTGCAGCGCGCCGTGACACCCTTATGACTTACGTGCCTTAAATCTTGCAGTAACCCTGCCCCGATCCGCTGCTGTCTTGGAGCGTGGTATGTTACCGGCTGAAGAGCACGTGCTCTTCTCTAACTCTGTAAATCTTGTATGTCAAATTTTTTCCTAACTCGGTTATGGGGTCGTATGGCACCATATCAAATGCATTATTGAAGTCCAGATTAGACTTCTTGCCTTTTTGTTACGTAGAAATCAGTTGCTATGTTAGCATGGCACTTACTTCCAATTAGCCAATCTCAGTTTTGCCTCATGCCCTGCTACATCTTAGTTCAAAGCCTTCTACTGAAGTTGAACTCATCTGCCTACACTTGTCTCAATACCCTGTGATGAGGCTTTTGATTCTCCTGTCACCATACCACCTTGACTCAACAGACCACTGAAAGTCTGCAGCATGTTTCTTCAGAACCCTGGGTTATTATTTCTGCAGCCTGGTCACTGAACTCTTTGGTGCCTTCAGTCTTCAAAGATTATATCCTAACCTTTTCCTGCACCTTTCAGTGAGTCCTTTATCTTGCAGCATTTCCTACCAGAATAATTTAATTTCTCATGCAACATGACCTTGCTGCTTTCAAAAGTGCTTGTGTATATGTGTGTAACTGTACCTGAATAGCACACATGTGTCTGTGCATCACTTTTGGATGCCCACCAGTGCAGCCCAGTTGATCATTTTATGAACATTATTTAGCACATTTGCAGATCAACTAAGAAATGCATGTTTCCCTTCTATTTAGAAAAAGGGAAGATATGTTCTCAAAGACTCAGAGTCCAAGGAAACTGTACAACCGGCCAACCTACTGTTTGAGAATCGCTTCAATTTAAAAGAATAGTAAGATTGTTGTGGATAAAGCAAGGGGAGGTCAAATGTTCAAATTGCTCTTTAAGACTTGGAGCAAATCAGCTGGGAATGTACCGTAGCCAACCAGAGTGGTTGAGGTTTGTGTGGTAAATGGTGAGGGTTCAGAGATGGACCCTAATCAAACAGAATTTGAGAAATGCTGCATTGGTTACACCTCATGTATGAGTAATAGTGGTTTTCCAGTATGCTTGTGTTAGATCTGGTGGAATTAATTTCATTAGGTAACAAATGAGATTCGCCTTCGAATTCCTGGAGGCAACTAAAAATGTGTATGAATGTACAAAGAGAGATTATTCCACTAGCAGGATATGAATAACTTGCATTTACTCAAGTGACTATTACTCGTATCCTGTGAAGGGACAGTTCTCTTCGTGGTGCCAGATCCCATTTCATAACCTCAGTTGACTTGCAGCAGCATACATCAGAGCAGATGATGACTGTAGCCCTCAACGTTTTAAATACGAATCATCAGAGAGTTTGAGTGAACCAGACCTGGGTTGCTGGTTTTTCCTCCTCAGCAACAGTCATGCTAGTAGTTTTACCTCTTGTGGTTTCAATTTAGTCACTTGAAGTACTCTGGAGTACATGGGAAAACCAGTAAATGCTGAAATCCAGTGTGCTTAAGTAAGTGCAAAAGCAAAGAATGTAGAAATGGGGGAAAAGGAGAATCATTTGGAGGAATTGGTAGTGTGGGATGCTTGGTTTGATGTTCATGTTGTGGGTGTGAACGAAACACACATGTAACTTGCATCTTATAAAAAGGCACTACTTCAGTAGGAGATCAGGTTTTTTTTCAGGTGAAGCTAAAGCAAATAACTTCTGCCCAAGGTATTGCTGGTTAGGCAAATAAAGGTTGATTGTTCAGCAGTGGAGTTCAGAGCACTCTCCACATCAAGGGTTTTTTTATTTAAATTTGTAAGTGTTCATGTGATAACTCATGTTCAGTTATCACATGCTCATGAAACTATTTTGCTTACGGTAGAAGACGAGGAAATAGATATGGATTCTGGAAGGAAACTCTCAGGATTTCTGTCTTGCTTGATCATGTTATCAGAGAGTTTTCAATCTTAGCAAAGCAAATTCCCTTGTCCTAGCCTGAGTGATGGCACCCACCTTTGGGCTGACTTTCTAGAAAGGAATAACCTTCTTAACTGTAGGTAGTGAAGGGGAAGGAGAGCTATATCTGGGTGTGATATCAGTTCTGTGGATGGTAATGTCTTGGTGACCCATATAACTGTAAATCATACCGCATTCCTATTTCCTGAGGTAGCTTTTACAGAGCAAAGCTGTCTGTGTTCTGGGCTCTCAAATTAAAGAACTGTATCTGGATCCTTCATCTTGTTCAAAACTTAGATTAAGACACTGAATCTCCCTGCAGAAAAATGTTTACCGTACATGATGCAGCTTACGGTTGGAACCCAGATCTCATAGATACTGACTACCTTGGATTTCTCTCTCTCTCTCTTTTTTTTTTTTTTTTTTTTCCAAAGCAGTAACATTCACATCTTGAGCCCTCTCTTACTGCTTTTTAAAGTTGATGTCAATTAAGACTGCAGACCTTTCTCCTGCTCCTGGCCTGCTGTTGCTTAGTAACTCTTTTATTTTCTTGTTTCAATCCCCAACCAAATCAGTACAAAACCATGGTTTGGTGAGAACTCTCTTCAGCTCTGCCAAAAGCCATTTAACACATTCAGACTGGACATGCGATAGTAAGAAAGTGCAGTAATGGAATATAATTAGTTTGAAGAGCATTGGGTGGGAAATGGGTTATGATTCACTGTCGCTCTTTACAGTGTTTCAAAGATTAATTGCAATGCTATCTGCTTGAATAAAGTAACAGCATGTGTTGATATTACTAGAATTGAATTATTGCAGTAATTCTGTATGGAAACCACGTTGATGCTTTGTAGGGAAGTGCGTTTTGCTTCTGGCCTTAACTTTATCACTTTCTCATACAGTTCAGCAGATTAAACAAACCGGAGCAGGGAACAGGTACACATCTGCCTGCAAGACTCTTCCTTATGAACATTTGCAACCTCTTAGATTTACGGCTATCATCCCAGATAATTCCAGAGAGGCATTCTGTACTGTTTGAATCTTGCACATGTGCAGGCAGCCAAGGCTTTCAGAGAAAGCACAGTGGTACTTAGAATTCTTGAGGTCCTCTGCGACACCGATCTCTGTGGGTTTTTGAAATAGCTCTGAATGTATTTTTCCACCTATCTCAGTCTGTAGATATTTTCTCAGAAATGCAGGTTCTGATTCATGCGTGCATCACACTCATCCTTAACTGATGAGTCCCTTTGCCTTGAGGAGGAAAAACAAGCAGTACCAAACATCACTCCTATTACAGTTTGCTTCTGGAAAAATCTCCAATTATTGGTGTGTCCACTTACTTCCCCTCTTCAATCAACTGTCTCCTTTCCTACTTGAGAGTTTATTAAAACGTCTCGACATTGTCTGAGCTGTGCTGCACACCAGGCCTTGCTCCTTCAGACCTTACAGCTGTATACTGAGCAGTTCTGTGACAGACGTTGGAGAGGTCAGAGTTAAATCATCTGTGTGCGTCTTCAGTGATTGCTCAAAGCACTTCCCAAAAGTTATTCATAGGACCTCTTAAGACTCAGTTCTTCCATGATAACCGAGGAAATGCGCTTCCAACTCCTTTTTCTTTTGCAGTGAACAGCTCTTAATCATGCTCTGCTTGTTAAAATAAACTTCATGCTTCCCCTTCCCGTCATTACTTGCTGAATCATATTTAATTGTGACGTCCTGAAACTCGTGCATGTTTTTATAGTACCGTTGCAATAATTAATAAGCATAAAATT